TGGAGGTTCGTTGATGATATAAGCGAAGAAATTTTTACTTGGCGTCTTTGAATTTCGAGATAATAATCAAATGAAAAATACCGACTTGTAACTTCAACGCCCTGTATCTCAGAATCTGTTCATCAAAGAACTTTACGATTCTGCAGGTTCAATCAGTTCATCGTATTCTACAACATACTGAAAATTCAGAAAATTTCACCAAGAAACATTTTACGTACTCAAAGTGCGGGGTCCTTCAGGAAAAAAACAGATGAGAATCGCATTCGAACATATGGATTTCTCGAAATTATTTATATCTGTACAATACATACCCAGTTATTTGAAATAAAATTGAAGAAATAATGAATATGCCTGCAACGCAGGTGTGATTGATGTTGAAAACTTCAAATCTCACATCGATAATTATCCGATTTCAATATAATGTGATATACTCTCGATATCGATTCGTTTTTCTTCCTGTTACAGAAAAAAATTTTAGTTCTTTGAAATACTTCCTCAGGCAATGAATTCCAGAGCTCTAACGTTCCATAGGAGAACGATCTTTGAAAAACATTTTCCGTGGAAGTGAACGATTTTTTCTGGAAAGAGTATTATTGATGAAAGTAACAAACAAAGAGATAGTGGACTTGATGGAAATAGTAGTACCAGCCATTGATATATCAGTCAGACTGATTTCTGCCTTTCCATACGAGATCAAGTATTAGTGGCGTTGAATTCAACAAGGTTGTAGGTTTCCTAGGCTGTAATTCCAGCAAGATCTCCATTGACAGCGTTGACCTGTGGAAGGTGGGATCTGATGTCAATGATATCAGACAATACTTTGTCTACCACTACATGAAGCGATATGCTCCAATCAAAACTCGATAACAAATGACAGAGCTGGGGTAGTGAGCCGTATATAGGTAATATTCGTCGAATGCTTCCGATATCTCTTAAGTCATAGCAAAAGAGATCTCCACGTTTTTTTTTTATTGATGCTTGCCATATATCATGCACGTAGCCAAGTTGATCCACGATTGATATCCGATGGTGGGAGACATATTTTTCATCATCGATGATTCCTCAGATTTCTAGATATTTGATGGGTTTGTCCATTACTTCGGAAATAACTGATAATAAAGCAATAGACCTTCAGTCGGTGGGCATGTTTTAGTTTCCTTTCTCGACTATTGGATGGACTCAAGCTATTTTCCAGCAGGATGTAGAGATATTTGACTTGTACAAGATGTTGACTAGCTTATAGAGAATCAATTGCAAATATCGCGTTGTCGGGAGATGATTGGTCAGGCATTTGACTTCCAACGAGTGGAATATCTAGCGGTACTCTTCCCTGAAGATGCAAGGTTTGCTACGAACATGTCATCAAACGCGAGAGTTCTTGTAAAGCCTGCGAGGACCAGCAACATATCAGTTTGTTAACGATAAGAATACATTGTAGCCATGATCAATGAACAGTCCGACTGATTATATCAATTTTCAAAAATGCGCAAGATGCATCATATCAGAAATCATTCATTTTCAAATAAACCTTGTGACTTATCATAAATAAACACGATACAAAGAATATTCCAGAAGGAAATATCGTTCTGGAAAAAGAACTGAAAGTTTCCATTCTGACCTCTGGAAAGTCATCCACAAATTTGTATGGCAACACGATTGTTTGAAACACTTGCAAGTCACTGATGATGATCAAAAACATCTCAAAACTTGACTTACAGTCAGAGAACATGTCATGCCAATAATCATGAGAATCAATTTCAGCCTACTCCTTTGATGAGCAAAATTATCATTTCCTAAAAAACTTCAACGCCTTGTACCAACTCAACGAGACGATTTTGGATATAAGTAAACGAGCCTGAATCGACTTGTTTTTATCCCATGAGTCCACAGCCGAGCCATGTCCCAACCTTTTATAGACACCCTGTATATTCTGTTGAGTGATTCATTTCAAAGAGATTACTTCATTTGCATGGACCAACGAATCCTCTTTATGAATTGAGTAATGTGATATTTTGAATATATCCCGAATTCGCTTACTTTGATTACCATGAAAATAAGAACAGAGTTTGTTTTTCAATTTTGTATTCCTAATAATTTTTTCAGATTATGGAGAGATTCTTGCATTGAAATTATGGTTCTCGTGAAATTTGTGAAAACAATATCGATAATATTTTGTCATCCGATCTTATGGAATTATATGGGCTTTTACAAGATCAAAAGATATTTTTCACAATTCCAAAATGTTTCTCTTTGTTCTCTCTCCTCGTTTCTATGAAATAAAGGACATATCAGATGATTTGACCCAAAATGTCACTGCATTTAAAGAATTTTTCTATCAGAGAGCCTTTTTGGATATTCAACAAATATAATTTGATGTTCGACGTGGCAAATAGAGTTGTTTTACTCTTTTGAATATACAGGATGATATTATATGCATATCTTCATATGAAGGAGAATGCAGATTTTCTACTTCAGGAGATTTTGTTGTCAAATTCTCATCGTGTGTGTTCTATAGATGTAATTCAATATTCGTCGTGACATATAGCCAGGAAAGAATTGGTATCTCCATCACATGGAGAATGCGAATCCTCAGAGTATTTTTTTACATATATATATACAGGGTGTCTGGAGATAAAACCGACAAAACTCATGGGATTATAGGGACTGTCAATATGATTGCAAAATGCCATAAACGAATGTCCAAAACCGCTTCGATACTGAGATACAGAGTGATTTTTGGATTTGGACAAAAAATTCCATCCGGCATATCAAAAACAGGGTTTAACCGATTAGATTCAAATTTGATACACTGATTACACCGAGAGGCATTGACAAGTAGCCCTGAGATCGAAATCAATATCAGGACCGGAATAATATTTTTCCTCTATGTTGAGTTATTGTGTGAATAACTCACCTTGTATAACAAAAATCGAAATTTCGAACTCAGATTCGAAATCTTCGGTGAACATTTTCTGGCACTATCTCAGTTATTCCGTGATTGATTGATATTTTAATTTTTTTCATTCAAAAATCAATTATTGTCGGATAGAGAACCATCAAAATTTGTAATATTATAAGTATCAATGGAACCATGACATGAATATCGTTATTATCTTCAATCAGTTTGTAAATCGTAGTGAATCAAAATACTTTCATTACCCGAAAAACCTGAAGGTTAATCTCTGTATTTGATATGGCGGATTGAAGTTTTCGTCAAAATCCATAAATCACTCTGTATGTCAATAACGGAGCGGTTTTGGACATTGGTTTATGGCATTTGCAATCATATTGACAGTCCCTAAAACCCCATGAATCTTGTCGGTTTTATCTCCGGACACCCTGTATATATATACAGGATGGTCCATTATTTGAAACAGAAAATTTGACAGCGTATAGTATACTCGTGGAAATAATGAATAAAGTTTCTATGAACATATACTTTCAAACGCTTCTTTTTCGAGATATAGGGTGTTCAAGTTTCTTTAAAAAATCGATTATTCATTGATTTCTCAGAAATGCAATAACCGATTGTGATGGAATTTATATCTATTGTGGAAATATCAATGAGCTAACTTCCAGACCTATAACAGTTCATGAATGAGTTACATATTTTCAGGGGCGTGCATTTCAATATCCAATTTTTTTGTTCTCTTAGATTTCTTATCTAATAGCTTCGATTCAGAAGGAAAAATAAAAACCAAACCTATGCATTTCTCTGAACCCAATGGAAAAAACATTGTTATGTATTGAATCTAGTTAGCATTGGCCGTTCACCAAACCAATCATGTAACAATTGCAAATCAATCATTTACGTATTAGAAGAGCCACAACAGGCCATAGACCGCATTGAAAATCCTGCTATTTCTCTTCAATGTTGCCGAACTAGTACATTTCAACTAATTAGTTTTTGATATATATGGTATCAGAAATACGCTTCAGAATAAATATACTTTTTTAATCCAAAGTTGAAAACTGTTCAAGATTAATCAACAAAATCTTTCACAGATACTAGACTTTTTGAACTTTATTAGATTGAATGAAGATTATTCATTAAAAATATTCAGTGGCGGCTGAATCTGGGGTGTCGAAGGAAATAATAATGGTTCAACAATCAAACTTTTGGAGAATAAAATTAGGTGAATATCAATAGAAACAAAGGAATTCATTTGGGGAATTGCTCAAATTGCAGAACCTCTATGAATTTTCTGCAACGTTTTTTCATAGACTCAACTGCACTAGAAATTTGTATTGGGTTTATTAATTCGTTCAACTAATTGTAATTTCTGTAATTATCACCTTCGTCGTCCCAGATTCAGCCGCCACTGAATAGTTCTCATGAATAATTTTTATTCAATTTAATAAAGCTCTAAAAGTTTGGTATCTGTGAAAAATTCCGTTAATTTATCTACCGTTTCTAACTTTTGATTGAAAAAATATATTTAGATGCGTATTTTTGACACCCAATATCTCAGGAACGAAGCGTTTGAAAGTATACATTCATAGGAAGTTTTTTTATTATTTGAACGAGTACTATGCGCTGTTTAATTTCCAGTATTAAAAAACAGACCACCCTGTATATCAATTTTTTGGTGTTCATAAATATATCTGAGAATATACCTTTTCAGTTCAATTATATCAGATGTATGATGTACTCACGAGTCGCTATAGTATAGGTAGTATCATGGATGTACCTTGACAACGATAGTAATTTCTATCATGAAAAATAAACTTACCTCCCATTTTCAACCCTCTTGCTTTGAATTCATCATAGAAATACTGAGATAATTGCCCAATAGCAAATCCTTTTGGAAAGAATCTCTTGTTATTTCCAGTAGGAAACGTTGGTTCCAAATAAGGAACATTTCTTCTTTTCCAGTATCCGTATTTGTACTTCACAAATAAAGTAGCTAATATGGCCACGCTCGCAAACAATATCACAATTTCTATCAACATCTTGATGCCGTGATGAAACAAACTGATCGATGATTCATCACACAAATGTGTACAGTGATTTATTTGTGTTGGTTTATATCACGAACAAATATTTGCGAAGTCATTATCGTAATGATAAATACATTTAATACTCATCGCATCCAGTTTGCCCTTCGATTTGGTGCCCAAGTGCTTGGATTATTTGAGTTATGGATTTCGATTGTTTTTTTCCAGAGGGGTCCATGCCCACGATTCTTCTTCTAGTTTCTGGACCAGTTAAACGATCAACTCAAAATATTTGTTTTGATGAAATATTGTCGATCATGGTGATATTCGGCAGATTATTTTCCTCATTTCAGAATACACAATGAAACGGAAGTCGTTGCTGACCAGAAGGAATGAAACCAGTGTATATTGGGGGTAGCAGCAGTGTGAAAGGAATACTCTTCAAGGATTATCCAAGCTTCCGGAAATGTTTATCTCCATCATCAGGAATACTACAATGATTAGGAAGTGTAAATACATTCGGAAACACTATGACCATGCCTTGTACTCACATCTTTGATCCGATCCACATTGAATCCTGACACTCTCAACACTCACTTTTGCACACTTGCTGAGAATATAACTAATAAAGTGGAGGCAACTCATGATCCCCTTGATATCATGAACTCTGTTGAATTGTTTGATGAATTGCAATTGAGAGATACCAACATTTTTGAACTGAAATCAGTAATTTATAGTATAAAGAAGAAAAATGCATAAGGAGTTGATGAAATATCAGCGATCGTTTTCCAAAACCTTGCTGGTTCAGCATTATCGTTTCTTGTAATGCTCATAAATAAATCATTTCGATGTGGAGAATTTCCTGATTTTCTTAAACAATCTATAGTTATCCCTATTCATAAGGGTGTGAATTCATCAGATCCAAACAACTACCGCCCCATTGCTCTTATACCAACGTTAGCGAAAATAATTGAAAAACTGGTTAAAATCAGAGTGTTGGACTACTTGAAGAAAAATAATATATTGACAAAACAACAATACGGATTCCAGCCGAAGAAAAGCAACGATGATGCTCTGTTTTTTTTCATGAATCAGGTGTACTCGAGCCTCAACAAAGGGGCAGCAACTGCGGCAGTATTTTGTGATTTCTCCAAACCTTTTGACTGCGTGAATCACGAAATATTGCTGCGGAAGCTGCAGCGATATGGTTTTATGAATAGAAGTCTGCACTGGTTCGAGACTCATCTCATCAATCGACAACAATCGGTTAAAACTAGCAGCGTCTCAAAGGCCTCAAACATAAAGCACGGAGTGCCACAAGGCTCAGTCCTTGGACCAATCCTTTTCCTTCTCTACGTGAACGATATGGCTTCTTCAAATATAAACGGTACAATCACATTATTTGCTGATGACACAACCATCCTTTGGCAAAGAGAGAATAGCTCTATATTAGAATCAAATATAATGCAGGATATGAAGATTATCAAAGATTGGTGTGAATCAAACCTCCTTTCTCTAAATATTGAGAAAACCAACATCCTGACTTTCCATTGCAATATTCTCAACTTGAATATTGGATGAGAGGTGATAGAAAATAAATTGTCCTCTAGGTCTCTAGGCTCATTTATAGATAATAAGTTGTTGTTTACAGAACATGTGACAGGTTTGTGTAAAAAACTGGCTTCTGGATGCTATGTTGTAAGAAACATTGCCACGGAATTAGGATCTCCATCTGCTAGAACAGCATATTTTGCCTTAATTGAGTCTCACTTGGGATATGGAATTGCATTTTGGGGGGCCTGCAGTGATCATTTATTCCAGAAGAGTTCTGTTTTGCAGAAACGAGCCCTCAGATATATAGGCCGGGCGATATATAGGCCGGGCGAAATCTAGAGATAGCTGTGGGGACTAATTCAGAAATTATAATATTTCAACTGTGGTTTGTTTATACATATTAGAAACAGCGTCTCTAATTCAAAAAAACAAATATGCCTCACAACTTGTCTCGTCCCGATACAATACAAGGCAGAATGGTCAAATTAAGTTGATGAGACCCTGAGCCACTAGGGTCAAGAACTCGATCATTTATAATGGAATGGAAATATTCAATCACCTTCCAACTGAGATCAAAGAAATATCATGTGATAAAAAGTTCCGCACTAAAGTCAAAGCACTACTCGTCCAAACTCCACTCTATAGCCTGATGGATGAATATTTTTCATTGAAGTTTTGATTTACTGAATAGGTATAACTTTTTTGAATTTGAAATGAAGTTGATATATTTTCAACTGGGTAGACATAGCTCTATACGAGCTTTTGAATGTTGTTTGTTATTTGTCGTACTATTGTCGTACTTTGTGTTATTTATTTTCAAGTAATTTAACAAGCGTTGTCAACAAGTGTGTTTTTACTCATGACAATGAAGCATATTACGAATTGAATTGAATTGAATCCAATCCAATTCAATGAAACTTAATTCAATTCAATTCAATTATGATACATATAACAATTCGCATTTCATCAACAGTTGTATGAATTTTTCAACGTTAATACTCATTTGGATTGCACCTAAGTGTGAACACCTGTATGAGTAAATACACTTTTCTACCTATCACATAATCAGAACAGTAATGTCATTATGGAGATAAAAATATAATATAAATACATGGCTATTTGAAATGAAGTTTTATGTTTTGAACATATTATCAAATGATACCTCATGAGTATATACATTAGATGATTGCTATTGTAACGTTTTTATTTTCTAATATTACTAGCCGACATCAAAACGTTACTTTTATACGTAATTTTCTACTATAATTCCATATAAAACTCTCAAAGGAAACACTATAGAAGTCAGACACTTTTATTGTATATTTTGTAACATAGTTCAAAGAGGTGTGTCTAGTTGAACACACTGTATACCACGCAGCCTCTCCTTGTGTCTCATGAGTTGTGGGTACCCTGGAACAAATTAAATATAAAATTAATCTGAATGTCAACATTGAAAAGCAACATAAATATTTTATCATATGAAAATCCTACCTGAATCTTTTTCATGATACGTGAACCATACAATTTTATGAATCTGCTTGAGGTAGTCTTTTATCCAATGATGATTATCAAATTCTTGTATTTTCAATAGTTGTCCTGAAAATAAAGAGAACAACAATCGTAAGAATTCACAAACACTGATAATCAGACAAGGAATAACAGAGATATGTACGATACACTCCTCCCGTGTTTATATGTGAATATTGTATAGTTAGATATAGTTGTGGGGAATTGATTGAAATATCCTTCCATTGGTTTTCACAAATTGCCCAGCAAGTTATTCAATATTCAATGTTCACTTCTTCACTGCTTGGTTATGTGTGGCTATATCGTGACCGTGACCTTGTGATCGTACTGTAGTGACAGTCAGAAAATTTCTACTCTTATTCTTCCATCGTATTTGGCGAATTCCTCTGCCGTGAATTAGTCGTTCTACGCATGAATATCTTGATTCCGATGCCTCGTTCAGACCTTGCTCGAAAGGGACTCCACTACGATTTTAGCATTTTAGCATACCAAATTTGGTAAGGATTTTGGCATTTTCGCTGTCGCCTTCTCCTGGTGTCCGTTAGATCTATCAAGTTCATGACTGACAAAACTGTGTCAATGTCAAGGTTGTATCGATTTCGGTTTCCGCTTTCCGGCGAAGACTTCTCTCAGTTAGCCATGATTCTTCTCCCAAGGTGGTTGTTCTCGAAGCAGCAGCAGCAGCACGCGAATTAGCTGGCACTATTTATTCTGCTCATCTTCATGGGGCCTAACCGAGTTGCCCAAAAGCAGTTTACGAGACCCAGACGTCCCGACTTCGACCACGTGGCCCTTATGCAGACCGGACCCTCATCGCCACGTTTCTGCTCCCCAATGTTTAACCAGGTGTTTTTGTTGAAACCCTCGATCCAAAAGAGGGTTTTATGTTGGAGTGATGAATGCCGCACATCCACGTGCTCATCAGTACCACATGTATGGGTGATGTCAACAGCAGGGGGTCCTTTGTTCAATCCCATACAAGTCTCCTCGAACCAGGCCGGTCAGACCGGAAGTTACCTTCGACATGTCAATATGCTCAAATTCTAGCTCTTATGTCATTATATCGACGCTTCAAATTTGACAAACTCACTTTATACAATGACTGGGATATTCCGTAGGCAATACTGAAGATAAGAACTGTGTCATCTGCATAAGATATTGTTATGCCATCAATGTGAGTTTTCAGCAGTGGGTTGATATAATTATGCAATAAATAATATTGGACCGAGAACCGTTCCTTGCGGGACTCCCATTTGTATAGTCCTTGGGTCCCCATATACATTTTCAATTTTAGTTTGCTGTTGTCTCTTGGACAGATGATTTTCGAAAACCTTCAGTACAGTGCCTCTCACTCCGTCACGCTCAAGTGAATTGAAGAGCTTTGCATGAAGCACTGTGTCGAAGTCTTTTGCTAAGTCAATAAATACTCCGATGCACTAATGATTACTATCCATGCTTTGTTTTATATCATCTGTAAGATCAAACATTGCATCTGTTGTACTTACACCCTTTTTGAATCCATATTGTTTGCAGCTCAAAATTTTGTTCATTGTTGAGTATTCATATAATCTACTTTCCAGACATTTTTCAAATATTTTGGCAGAAGTATTGATTAAGCTAATGGGTCTGAAATTTCGATTATTTGTTTTTTTTTCAGATTTGAAGATTGGCGTTACTATTGATATTTTGAAATCATCTGGTATTTCCCTCATACTAAATATTAGGTTTATGATATGGATTAAGGAATCAACCATGTAGTAGTGGCTACTTTTGATCAGTTAGGCAGTATTGCTATCTATTCCTGGAGAGCTGTTATCTCTCAAAGTTTTGATATGATTTATAATCTCATTTTTGTTCACTGGTTTGGCAAACATGAAGCGTTTGATATTTGGAGAGCAGTTATCAAAGTTCTGGGTTGGAATATCTTTTTTGGCTGCCATGTTTCGTTCAACGTTTATGTAATAGTTATTGCAATGATTAGCCATAAGCTTATAATAGTAGGAGTCGGGAGACTCCAGTCCAGCCCCTCCACTCCACCTACCAC